GGGGGCCGTCTTGCCGCCGTCTTGGCCCCGCGATAGGCTTGGTGGGGCCTCGTGTCGGCGCCTCTCGAGGTTTCGTTGGCGCCGTCCGTTGCCCCTCAATCGCTCTCGTTGGGCCGTTCCCAGGAGTGATCCCGAGTGGCGCCCTCGGAGCTTTCTTGGGCTTCCTGAGGTTATCTTGGGTCTCTGGGCCCATTGGTTCCCCGCGTGTTTTGCGAGACGCCGTTGGTTTGGTGGGGCCGCCCGGCCGGGGTCGACGCCGCCGTCTTGGTCCGTATGTGTTGCTGGGGTGGGTGGATAGGAAAGTTATCTCCACTTCCGACTTGTTGGCCCCGAGGGATCCAACAAATCATTGTTTGGGATAATGTGTTATCGATTGCGAATGTCTTACAATTTTTTATTTAGAAAACCATCTTGTGAGGTAAAGAACCTCCTGGTTATACCACTCCCCGCCCTTGTTTTCAGAGGAGATGCTTGTTTGTCTCCTGTCACTTTGGTCGGACGGGGGCGGGGTAGCTGCTTGTCCTTGAGTTGTCGGCTTCAGTTCGGCACGGCGGGCGCCAAGGCGACGGCGGCGGCGACGATCTCCACGAGGGGGGAAAATGATGACGAGGAGGCGCAACGCGGGGCCTTTGAGCAGCCCGAGCCCTTCGGGCCCTGAAGGAGCCCGTCGTGGCCTTCGGGAGCCCGTAAGGGGCCCTTGAGGCCCTCAAGGAGCCTTTCGGGGATGACCAGGCAAGACGGTGGGACGATGCCAGACGGGAAGTCCAGACCAGACGGGCGGGGGGGCAGACCAGACTTATGTCGGGCGTGTCCCCCTACAGGGGAATTCTCGACGAAAAATCAAAAATACACAAAAAATACCCCAAGAAGATCAACAACAAATACTCAAAAAATGATCCCCAGACTATTTTTGGACTATTTTTTATTTTTTTTTGGTAATTTTTTATTTTTCGTCGAAAATCCCCCTGTAGGGGGACAGGCCCGACTTAAGACCAGACGTGAGAGGTGCGCCGAAATGGGTCCGACGCGTGGTGTAGAGCCCCCTTGGGGCCGAGAGCCGTTTGGGGGCCCCCCATTGTGGGTTCGCTCGGCCTCGGGGGGGGGGCCCGTCTCGGGCGCGGAGGGGCCGGGGGCACTCGGTCAAGGTGGGCGCCCCCCCCAGGAGGTCCGCCGACGGACTTCCTTCACTCCCAGAGGTCCTCACCTCACTTCCTTCACTCTTTACTCTTCACTCCTCCTCCTCCTCCTCCTCCTCCTCCTCCTCCTCCTCCTCCTCCTCCTCCCTCGCCTCCCAACGTCCGTCGGCGGACTTCCTTCGCTCACCATGGAAGTCCGCCGACGGACTTCCTTCACTCCCGACGGACTCGCTCACGCATTTCGCGCGAGACGGTAGATTCGCCCTGTGTCGTTTTCCGACCTCATGGCCTCTGCCGGCGCCGCTCTGGTGGCGGGTGGCCTCGCGGGCTCTGAGGGCCCTCTTCGTCAGTCTCGAGGGCTTCTGGGGCCGTCTTGGGCCGTTCAGGGGGAAGCAGGAGGGGGAAAGGGGGGAAAAGGAGGAGCAAGGCTGAGGAGGTGGAGGAGAAGGAGCAGGAGGTTACGGGGAGGCGAGGGAGGAGAAGGAGGAGGAGGAGGAGGAGGAGAAACTCAGGAGGAGGAGGAGGAGGAGGCGTGCTCTGAGGGTGTCCGGGATTTGTGTTTCTGTTTCCGGGGGTGGTGCCTCGCTGTTTTCTGTGGGTGGCCGCTGGCGTTTCCGGGGCTCGCGCCGCCGTCGTTTCCGGGGCTGGCGTGTGCGCGTTCCGGGGTTCGCGTTTTGCGTTTCCGCGAGTCGTCGTCCACCTTGTCGATCGCAGCGCACCTCTGCCGCGACGTGCCCCGACCCGCCCAGTCGCTACCCGGAGTGTTAAGAAAACGCAGCTTCGGGCGCGGACCTGCGATCTCACGTCGCCAAGCAAAACATCCTCGCACAAAGTCTCGACCAGAGCCCCGGACCCAATGTTCCTGCGTCATTGTTCGAGCCGGGTCTATCATCTGTGAGGCCCCGCTGGAGCCCGAAACCCTGCGGAAACGCTTGGAGCGAAATAGTTGCAACGCCTGGACCGACCTCATAGATATTTCGGGGAGCGAAGCAATCGGGCGTTGCGCAGTGGGGTGCGATAGTTTGGGGAGGGGGGGGAGGGCGAAAGGTGCATTCCTTTTGCCCGAAAGGGGCCCCCTGGGGCCCGAACGGGGCAGAATCTGTAATTTCACGCTCCTCCCTCCCCAGTCATCGCCCCCTCTCCCACGAAGCAGCGCCCCAAACAAAAACACCAGCTGAGGGGGGTGCGGGAGGGGGGAGGGCTTCTTGGAAACACCCCTGCTTCTCAGTAGGCGAGGGCTGGCGCCTTCTACTATAGGAAGCAGCCTCCTCCTCCTCCGCAGCCCCTTCCCCCCCCTCCCTCCGCCCTTCTCGTGCGCCCCGCCCGGCAGAGCGAGGCACTCCCCCCCCCCTCCCCCCGCCGAGCGCGGACCTCGCGGCCGTGGCCACGCTGCTGTCGAAGCGGCACGCTCGGGCGGCGGCCGCCCTCGAGGAGGCGGGCGCCGGCGGGGCGGCGGCCCGCGCGGAGCTGCTGCGCAGCACGGCCTCGGCGGGCCGCCCCGCCGGGGGCGGGGGGCGGGGACGGGGATCGCCACCCGCCAGACCACCCCGACCCAACCCGAAGGCCTCGATTTGACCTCCTCCATTTCCAGGGGGGGGGTCGGGGAACATGGGGAAGACACGAATGGAACCCGTACCCCCCCCCACCCCCACCCGAAAGTCGGGTCTTCGGGCTGGGTTGGGGTGGTATGGTAGGTAGTCTTAAGTCGGGCCTGTCCCCCTACAGGGGGATTTTCGATGAAAAATAATTACCCTGTGACGTACCCAACCCATTTGTATCAATGGAAACGAGGAGTTGGCCGAAACTTGTATGGACAATCGACTTGATGTGTAAGCTACTTGGGAGGCGTCACTGTGCTGGGCCCCGCCAGCAGGCTTCGAAAGTGGCGAAAGTTTCACAGATCGCCCCCCCCCCCCCCCCAGGGATGGCGAGGTCTAATTTGAATCTGCGTGTGGCATCACTGTGCTGGGCCCCCCGGCAGGCCGCGAAAGTGGCGACAGTTTCACAGATCGCAGCCCCCCAGGGATGGCGAGGTCTAACTTGAATCCGCCGTGGGTACCAACTGTGCTGGGCCCCCCAGCAGGCCTCGAAAGTGGCGACAGGTTCACAGATCGCAGCCCCCCAGGGATGGCGAGGTCCCATTTGAGTCGGCCGTGGGTACCCACTGTGCTGGGCCCCCCAGCAGGCCTTGAAAGTGGCGACAGTTTCACAGATCGCAGCCCCCCAGGGATGGCGAGGTCCCATTCGAGTCCGCCGTGGGTACCCACTGCGCTGAGCCCCCCAGCAGCCCTCGAAAGTGGTGACAGTTTCGCAGATCGCAGCCCCCCAGTGATGGCGAGGTCCAATTTGACTCCGCCGTGTGTACCCGCTTTGCTGGGCCCCCCAGCAGCCCTCGAAAGTGGCGACAGTTTCGCAGATCGCAGCCCCCCAGGGATGGCGAGGTTCCATTTGGATCCGCCGTGGGTGCAGAATGCGCTGGGCCCCCCAGCAGGCCTCGAAAGTGGCGACAGTTTCGCAGATCGCAGCCCCCCAGGGATGGCGGGGTCCCATTTGAGTCCGCCGCGGGTGCAGACTGTGCTGGGATGGCGAGGTCCCATTTGAGTCCGCCGTGTGTGCCCACTGTGCTGGGCCCCGCCAGCAGGCGTCGAAAATTGCGACAGTTTCGCAGATCGCAGCCCCCCCGGGATGGCGAGGTCCCATTCGAGTCCGCCGCGGGTGCAGACTGTGCTGGGCCCCCCGGCAGCCCTCGAAAGTGGCGACAGTTTCGCAGATCGCAGCCCCCCAGGGATGGCGAGGTCTAATTTGAACCCGCCGCGGGTGCAGACTGTGCTGGGCAGCCCTCGAAAGTGCCGACGGTTTCGCAGATCGCAGCCCCCGCGGGATGGCGAGGTCTAAGTTGAATCCGCCGCGGGTGCAGACTGTGCTGGGCCCCGCCAGCAGGCTTCGAAAATGGCGACAGTTTCGCAGATCGCAGCCCCCCCGGGATGGCGAGGTCCCATTTGAGTCCGCCGCGGGTGCAGACTGTGCTGGGCCCCCCGGCAGGCCTCGAAAGTGGCGACAGTTTCGCAGATCGCAGCCCCCCAGGGATGGCGGGGTCCCATTTGAGTCCGCCGCGGGTGCAGACTGTGCTGGGATGGCGAGGTCCCATTTGAGTCCGCCGTGTGTACCCACTGTGCTGGGCCCCGCCAGCAGGCGTCGAAAATGGCGACTGTTTCGCATATCGCAGCCCCCCACGGATGGCGAGGTCCCATTCGAGTCCGCCGCGGGTGCAGACTGTGCTGGGCCCCCCAGCAGCCCTCGAAAGTGGCGACAGTTTCGCAAATCGCAGCCCCCCAGGGATGGCGAGGTCTAATTTGAACCCGCCGCGGGTGCAGACTGTGCTGGGCAGCCCTCGAAAGTGCCGACGGTTTCGCAGATCGCAGCCCCCCAGGGATGGCGAGGTCTAATTTGAATCCGCCGCGGGTGCAGACTGTGCTGGGCCCCGCCAGCAGGCTTCGAAAGTGGCGACAGTTTCGCAGATCGCAGCCCCCCCGGGATGGCGAGGTCCCATTTGAGTCCGCCGCGGGTGCAGACTGTGCTGGGCCCCCCCAGCAGCCCTCGAAAGTGTCGACAGTTTCACAGATCGCAGCCCCCCAGGGATGGCGAGGTCTAATTTGGGACCCCGTAAGACGTCACTCCGCTGCCCCCCCAGCAGGCATCGAACGTGGCGACAGTTTCACGGATCGCAGCCCCCCAGGGATGGCGAGGTCTAATCTGAGTCCCCGTAAGACGTCACTGTGCTGGGCCCCCCGGCAGGCCTCGAACGTGGCGACAGTTTCACGGATCGCAGCCCCCCAGCGACGGCGAGGTCGAATCTGAGTCCCCGTAAGACGTCACTGTGCTGGGCCCCCCAGCAGCCCTCGATAGTGGCGACAGTTTCACAGATCGCAGCCCCCCAGGGATGGCGAGGTTTAATTTGATTCCCTGTAAGACGTGTTGAAAGTGGCGACAGTTTCACAGATCGCAGCCCCCCAGCGACGGCGAGGTCTAATCTGAGTCCCCGTAAGACGTCACTGTGCTGGGCCCCCCAGCAGGCCTCGAACGTGGCGACAGTTTCACAGATCGCAGCCCCCCAGCGACGGCGAGGTCTAATCTGAGTCCCCGTAAGACGTCACTCCGCTGCCCCCCCAGCAGCCCTCGAAAGTGGCGACAGTTTCACGGATCGCAGCCCCCCAGCGACGGCGAGGTCTAATCTGAGTCCCCGTAAGACGTCAATGTGCTGGGCCCCCCAGCAGGCCTCGAAAGTGGCGACAGTTTCGCAGATCGGGAGAAGGGAGGAGAGGAGGGGGACGGGAAGGAGGAGGAGGAGGAGGAGGGGAGACGCGACCGCAGTGCTCTATTCAAAACGAGTACCCAACGCAGGAGGGTTGGGAAAAATACCCAAAGAAATCGTCAAAACATAGTCCAACAATAGTATGGGTATTTTTCGAGTATTGTTTGACCTTCTTGGTGTATTTTTGCGGTGTTATTTTTTGTTGAACATCCCCTTGTAGGGGGACACGCCCGACATAAAGGTGGTCAGGGGGGAGCCCCCCCCCGGGTCGGAGCAGGGGCCGCCCAGGCCTCCCAGGCGGGGCCCCGGGGGATCGGAGGAGCGCGCCGCATCGCCGACGCGTGGGCGGTGCGGCTCGCCGTGGAGCCCCTTTGGCTCCACGCTGTCGGCTCGCCGCCGTCGCTGACGTCGGGCATCTATGCCTTTCCAGCCATTTCCACACGGCCGAGGGCCCCCCCAAAGCCCCCCCCCTCCTCCTCCTCCTCCTCCTCCTCCTCCTCCTCCTCCTCCTCCCCTCCTCCTCCTCCTCCGCCTCCTCCTCCTCCTCCTCCCTCTCCTCCTCCCTCTCCTCCTCCTCCTCCTCCTCCTCCTCCTCCTCCTCCTCCTCCTAACGAATGTGGCCCACGGGCAGCCCCCCAAGCTGACCTGTGGGAGGACCTCGCGAGAGCCCGAAGACGACCCCGGGAAGCCCCAAGACGTTCGACGACGATGCTGTATTTTTCCCATCCGAGCGCCCTCTCCAAAAACACCGGGTGTCGCTGAAGACCGGGGTTTTTAATATGTCAGGCTGGCTGGGTTTTTTTCGATCGCTTGCGTCTTGCGTTGCGGAAGCTGTCCCTTCGGGGGGGGGGAAACGTTCGACGACGACCCCGAAGGAGCCGTCATACCCCCAAAGATCGCTCCAAAACGTCCCAGGAGGCCTTCAAGAGCACTCCCAAGAGGGCAACAAGAGGCAACACTCATTGGTTTTGCCTCTACGACGGCCCGCTTGGCCCCCAAGATCGCCCTCAGACGGCCCGACGGACCTCCAAGAGGGCCCCAAACCGGCCCACGAGGGCCCCAGACCGGCCCAAGAGGGCCCCCAGGCATCCCTACAGGACCCCAGGAGGCCCCATGAGGTTTCCAAGTGGCCCCGAAGAAGCCCCAAGAGGCCCCCAAGAGGCCCAAGAGGCCCCCAAGAGTTAAAAGATCCCGCAAGGACCCCAAGACCCCACAGAAGTTCGAAAACGCTCGAAACGGCCCCCAAGACAGGCACAAAACGGGCCAGGAGCCCAAACATGACTCCAAGACAGCCCAACAGAGCCACTACGCACCCCACCACAGGCCCAAGCCATAACGGGACTCCACCACGTCCCACAGAGACTCTCAGAAGGCTCCAAGAAGGCCCACGTGACGTTAGCATTCCGAACGCGAGGCCTCCCAAGAGCGTACGGCGGCGCAAAAAAATGTCATCGTCGAGCCCCGCTGCGACACGGTCCCGAGGTCCCCCAAGGCCTTCACACGGCGCCTTCCATAGCCCCAACGACACGGTCATTGGTAAGCCCAGGTCATTGTTCCAAGCTCTGCCGTGTCCTCCATGCCGTCTCCTACCCAAGTCTTTCGGCACTCGCGAGCCCTTCACTGCGTTTCTGCCCCCCCCCCTCTGTGGCCACGACCGCGCACATGTATGTATAATATATATATATACACATATGGATATGTGTACACGTAAAACTGTCCAAGTAGATGTGATACATATGTATGCGCAATCACGTATATGTACATGCACCAATATACTCACACACGTTTGCATACATACATGTGTATATATATACACCTATATATACATTTACATACATATATATATACATACATATGTGTTTGGCGTGCATGTACGTGCGCGCGTATGACATATATACACATACCCGCGTGCGCATGTGCACGCGCACGCACGCCGCCCGCGTGCGAAACTCGAAGGACCAAGGTGCATGGCGCGAAGCGCCACTGCAGTCTTTGTGTATATATGTTGTGTTTGTATACATCTATATCTATAGTTATACGCATATTCACTGCCCACGGCCAGGCCCATCTTAGGACCAGAGCTGCATATGTGCTGGCAAAGCCAGGGGGGCGTGTATACCGCTCCTGGGCCCAGGATTGGCCTGGCCATACATCTCGCCGCCCCAGGGGGAGGATC